TTATCTTTTTCTCTTTCCAAATTTATTTCACTGTACTATACTCCTTCAATAATTTCTTCAAACCCTAATCTTTTGGATTTCTGATTATACTCCTACTACTTCCACCACTATGGGATTTGAATCGACAACTGCATCTCTGTGCTAATGTGGTATGGCAACTCGAACTGATGTACGTACGTACGAAGTTCTACGTTGTGACTGACTGACTGTAGCGCTTTCCAAGGAAAATTTTATGTTGTATGTATACGCTTGATTTGTACTTGTTGTGATCGCTTGTACTACTGCCTGCTTGCGGAACATATTTTTCCCACTTCGAACTTGGACCTCTCACTCTGGTTAGCGAGTCTGGGACAGGTCAAAACAGCTAGCTTATTGGTCTTTGGTCACAGAGCATTTGTTCGTTATCAGATTAGGGAACTCAATCGCTTGAGACATGACATGCGTAAACAATTGTTTGTAAATGCTTGTACTTTTATTATGATGGTTGTGGTCGTTCTCAAAGTTTCAGCTCCATATAATAGAACTGTCTAGAAGTTCGTATTGATGATTCTGATTTTGACATTGGTTGAGAACTGTTTTGAGTTCCATATGTTCTTCAATTGTCGGAATACAGCCCTTGTTTTGCCATTCCTCGCCCGTTACGTCTGCATCGGATCCTCCTTGCTCATCAATCGTGCTTCCCAAGCACGTGACAGATTCCAAATCTTCCAGAGCTTCTCCATCAAGTGTGACTGGATTGATGTTCTCTGTGTTGTAATTGAGGAACTTGCTTTTTCCCTTTGTGTATGTTTAGGCCAACTGATGCACAGGCTTCTGCCACACGGATTGTCTTGACCTGTTGATTGCATTCCGTGCTTCCCCTAAGATGCAGAGGTTTTCATAATCCAGTCAACCACCATAAGAAACAGCAAGTTGGAGAAAAAGCGTCCTTGTCTGCCTCCGGCCCTACTTGAGATGCTTCTGTGAGCTTTCCTTCATGCATAACTTTGCAGTGCAGTCCATCGTGTGAATTCCGAATGATGTTGACGATTTTCTCACCTACTGACACCATAATGTTGAAGAAGGTTCCACAAGGTTCTCTTATACACACTGTCAAGTACCTTCCCATAGTCAACTATTTTGATGTATAGTGACGAGTTCCTTTCAATTGATTGTTCATCGATGATCCATAGGGTCGCGGTTTGGTCTGTACACGACCGATCTTTACAAAATCCAGCTTATTGATCTCGAAGTTGGTCGTTCACCCCATCTTTCATCCGATTCAGCAAGACTGTTTTGAAATTCTTTCCTGGTACTGACGGTAGTATGATGCCTCTGTAGTTCTCACACTTACTGAAACCTCTTCTTCTATCATGATCTTAATCTCTCGTAATTTTCATACTTCTCCAAGCTTTTCTTCATTCATAGCTATCTGCTTCCCTTCTATATTCTCCATAGACTTTTTATCCCCAAATAATATTTTCCTGTTTCTATGATCCGCCTGATTGCACTTCCTCCAAATTCCGACATTTCATCTTATCATGCTGAGTCACTCATTCCCAATTATAATTTCCTTATATTTATGATGAATAATTAAGAATAAAAAAATAAGAGGAAAGGAAAGTCAAGAGAATAGTTCAACATAGTAGTGATCCCAAATCACAAAGCAACTTTGAAAGCAATCAAAGACATCTTGAACAGTAGAAATATGAGGTATTTTTTCGAAAAAAACAATACTCTTCGCTCTGAACTAATAAAAATCAAGACACAATACTTAAAAAGTAAAGAAATTGCATCTACAAGATCAAAAGCAGTGATTGTAATGTTGTGTTATGATGACCCTTCATACGGCCCAGAGCCTTCTGACACGTTGAGGTTAGTGCTTCTTTCATCCCTTAACAATTTTCTTCCATAGTAGCTTTTTCCTCTTTAAGAAGACCATGTATGGCTTGGAACCTGTTGTTGAGAGATATCTTGAATTCGTTGATTTTGTCAACATCTCGAAGGAAGGCTGTATTGAACATTTGTACTGCTGTTTCCCCAGTTGTCCAGTGATCTGAAGCTAGGTCAGCTTCTCTTCTGGTTCTCACGTCTTTCATTGACCTTCTGGATTTCTCATTGATACAGATATTGATTGATCTGGTTCTGTGTAGTGTGACCAGGTGAGACCCATGTAGCTTTGTGTATGCGTTTGTGTGGGAATATTGTGCCACCTATAACCATTTTATTGAATACATACAAGTTTGCGTGTATCTCATCATTCTCTTTTCTTTCTCTCAGTCAGTCCTTGTCGTCCTAAGATAGATACTTTCATACTCGGAGTTGTCCACTTTGACGTTGGCGTTTAGTTCTCTCGTTTGGATGATGAGGCCTTTTCTTGGGCACTTCTATGATCGATAGTAGCCTCTCGTAAAACTGTTAAAGCATTCAAGCTGAGGCCGATGGCCGACGCATTCAACTACTTCATTCACTATAATCGATCCATGCGTTGATCCAGCCTAGTCTCGAAATTACAGGTTGCGTTTAAAAGAATAGAAATGAATCCTCAAAAAGCTTACATCCATTCTCATTCGAATCGGAATATTTCGTCCTTTGACAGCGTCTTCACCAAACAAGACTGTGTCGTTCGCGTATTCTAAGTCAACAAGTTAGTTTCTTAATAAATCGATTTCTAGACAGTCAGATGATAAGAGCGTTGTATGTAAAAGTATGTCTGTGACAAAATCGGGAATAAATGGTGGGAGCAGACAGTTATGACGCCTTTCAAAGACAGACACAGTTATAGAACATCACGATCTACGCAGACACATGTGTGAGAAAAGGAAAGTTATTTATAAAGTAAAAGTTGGACAAAAGATATGGGTACGACATGCAAACCAGATACAGCCGACCAGATAGAAGTGGGAGATAGGAAGTGATAGAAAGCATGATATACCATTAAGCATATTAACGGAGTCGGATAATGAAACTAAAGAGAACCCAAATAACAAGAAGACGTACAACATTCCCAAGGCGGCCGCACCGCATCAGGCGGAAACCTAGTCGTACAAAAATAAATCCTAAGGATCGTTATTATCCATGATGCTTCAAAAAAGGGAGGTGTTATATCCTAGTGAAGAAGTAAGTACGGATAACTTCCGGGACCTATTGGTGGACTATTATTCTGTATCTATTCTTATCGTATAACTATCCAGTAACTAGATTATGTATATCTATATTCATCTTATTATAAGCTTCCTTTTGACTTATCAGTTATTATTATTGTACGAAATAATGTTCCCAAATTATACTCAATTTATTGATTACTGTCTCCCACGATCGCAGTAACATTTGGCCTGATGTTGTACAAATATTATTTTCTATTTTATGGTGTTATGTGGTCTGTTGTCTGGTATATAAACATAGTATGCTTGAAATAAATGATTCACATACAGAAGTGCAATCGGTGTTCTGGACTTAATTGGAAGGGCTAGGCGGACAAGGGACCAATAAGGACGCTAGATTGCTCATACCAGTTGAACGTCATTGATTGTCACTGTATTAAGGTCGGAAAAGTCGTATTTTCATTGGTGACTAATTCACGTGATAAAAGCCGGGCATAAAATCAATAACGAATTAGCATACGTTCTATTTCTTTTTATGATGTCATAATACCAGAATCTTGAGAAGAGCGAGTATTTAGTTTGCACACCATCATTCAAGTCTAAAACAATACTGGTTCTTTCTTCATGAACCCAATTTAAGCATTGGAAGTTTATTAAGACTAATATTGTAGACAGTGTATTATTCGAGCTGATGTCTGATATGGAGAGCCTATGACAAGTAGCAAAAAGTCAATTGATAGCAATCAAAAGTGACATAAAGCTCTAGTATATTTCACTATCTAAGGAATGGATGAATATCCTAGAGTGTGATATATAGATGAGTGTTTGTGCGTTTTATTCAGTCGTCCAAAGCACTTTCTCGCCCAAGTAGTCACGATTATCGGCGTCAGACAATGATAGATAGGAACACACGTCTCTGTCTTTTCGTCGTTTCTGCTTACACTCCCACTGACTGCAGCCCTGATGAAGTGAAAGATGAATTGTACAGAAAGCTCGTACTCGTAGCGGGTGACTTTAATGCCCAATTAGGTAGCTTTAACCAAATGGAAAGACATTTAGGTGGGTGTTTCAGAATCCCGGCTCAGTGAACAGATAATGGTGATCATCTGTTGCAACTGTGCTCAGACAATCATTTATTTTTAGCAAACACTAATTTTACGCATAAGGAGAGACATCGTTTAACATGGCGATGGACTCAAATATACCAAATTGCTATCAGTCATTATTGGAAAGGCCTAATAGAAGACTGTCACCAGTTCTGGAATACATGTTTAGACTCTGATCACGCTTTAATACGAGCACACATTTGTTTGCCCCTCACAGGACGCAGAAAAACTACGATAAGACCCATTAGGATTGAACTCAGTGATGAGAAAGCCAAAGGTCGATTCCAGGGACAATTGAGTTCACATTTAGGCAGTTCTGTAAACGAGACTGACCCATATGCTGCCTAGAAAGATATAAAAACAACTGTGGAAACAGCAGTAACATCTATTAGTTATTTAGATGCACTATCGCTGATTGAATGAGTAATAGTCAATCAACGTGCCCCAACACAATGATGCACGGAACGTGCTTTAATCAAATCTATATTCCGCCAACATAGGGTCTCATCTACTGAAGTGCAGTACCCAAGTTGACATGAGAAACAAACATTGAGTGTTGTTTTGAGGTATAAGCGCGCTTTCGACTTTCCTGTTACCCACATCGTAGAAGGATATTTCTTCCTGAGGGATCCGAATAGGAAACTAGGTTAGTAGAAAGATTTTAGATAACTGTGAGCGTGACCTCAAAACCCAGGGGACAATAGCTTGAGGCCAATTACATAACACCCTTTTTTCGATGAATCTTTGATGTAAATAACGTCTGTTCCTTTTCTCACTGAAATAATTATTTGTTCAATTTTTGTTGATACAGTACAGAAGTAACAAAATATATGAGTTCATGTAATATTAAATTACAATTGGTTCATTGTAAGCAACAACTCACTCTTATATTTGAACGTTTGGGTCGTTATCCTTTACTTTTAAAAGAGATGGAACGCTATTTAGAGGTATGTTGATTAAACTTGTAAAGTTCACTTAATTTGTGGTATGGTTGTACTATTAAACACATTGTTGTTTGTGGTTCTCCAAATTATTTCATACAGCATGGCTTCGTCATAAATGGGGTCTGCAGATGTTAGTATACATCAAAATTATTGTCGGTAAGCCATCGTTTGTCAACTCTTTCCTACAACTGACTACTACCTATCTCTTCACTAAAATTTGATTAAATTGTAGATGGCAACTGCGTAACCAGATGATGAAATCGCGTTGTTTATTGCTTAACAACTAGCCAGTTATCATCTCCTAATAACGAACCATATTTAAGAATTCATTTTCTTATATCGATAAATTCATATATTTGTAATATCCCAATGGATAGAAAAATTAATATTTAAACTCTATCATTAGTCATTATAAAAGTCACATAATTTTCATCATTAACAGTGCACACATACACACACACAAATTTACATACATATCCCTTATGAATCACTTTGACCGAAATGAAATGACGTGACAGTGATCTATTCAGACCTGTTTTTGATTGATCACCTAATTATTCTTTGATTGTTCCATTGTACTATTTAAACTTGGATTAATGTTAATTTGGTTATTTATTCTCTGAAAAAGTGGCTTACACTTAGTCACGAAACGTCAGAAAATCTAATTTTTCTACACATTGAAATATTACAAATATATTTAATTTATTTATAACAATCTACCCAATGCTCAATTTATTCAAAATTATCAAATCAAAACTTGGTAATGGTACCTATTTTCTTATATCTTTCAATGTCGTTTACATTAAGATATCCTAACCTTTATTATCATGAAATCAAGGAGGAGTCGATGAGAAAATCAGTTTTACGTTAACAGCTAATTATATTTTAAGATACTTCCGACCAACACTATAACTTTTCCCTTAATGGAAGTAGAAACAATTAGAAGAGCAGTTTTGCTGAGTTTTAGTATGACTTGTGTATAACATTTATATGTCATGTTTGTGTACGTGAAATTGATGTTTTATCTTAGGTATTAAGGTATTATCGTAAAAATGCTAAAAGAACAACCTTAGTGAATATTCTTTTTAAAAATACTTCCTCGTAATTACTTTTAAAAAGTATAACTACCTATTGTTTTTGACTATGCAACTGCGTGATCGAAAATGGATACGAATATTTACGTTTATCTTAGTCGTGTGCATTCTATGTGATGTTGATATACCCCGAGGAAGTGTAAGTATATAATCTTTGTGAACGATTTTAGAAGTTCAGGAGAATAAATCTTAGCACACATTTCAGCCAAAAATTTGATATATGTGATTAAGTGAAACCGCCACTGCAGCATACTTTCTCAGAGATTTTGTGAAATAGAAAATGCAAAAAACTGGTTCACTTTACAGTTTTATCGGATAAGTATTTGATTAAACTGTTCTTATGGTGATTCCGTAGTTTAAATGTAACTTAGCAGAGTCCTTAGAATAGTCAAGACAGTTCTAAACCAAACATAAATTTTAAAGTATATAAGATCTCTCGTCTAACTTAAAGCGAATAGTTTCACAGTATTTGGGTGCCGAGTTGATGTAAGACATTAAATAGGAAGAAGAATATGTATTTTGTAAAATCTCAGCGAATGAATTTGTAGTAAATCCAACGTTTCGCCTGGCAATCTGGTCCAAGCTTTTTCAAGGAATTATAATCAAACATCAAAATTATCGAATATAAATAGGTAGTACATGGTTCTCCGAGTTCATTATACACTGAATAGGTCATCCAATCAACGTTAACAAAGTCTAAACTAGGTATGTGTGTGATGTGAAGTGATAAGTGTTCATATAACATAATTGTATAGAAAACGTAAGAGGTGAGAGGATAAAAATTACATTCACATTCATATATTGTCTCTTATCAGTGAATTTATAAGGAAACATACAATTTGTAATATATGTGATATGAATCATATCTGTGTCACAGCATGTACAACAATGAAGAATAATTAAACAAAATAAAAATAATAAAAAAGTGAGATTTGAAGAGTGTAAATTTTTTTATAAACTGTATGTATGTGTCATTTTTAATGTTCCAATGAATTGTTTTACAAATTCCGATTTTTAAACTACTAAATTCCGATAAGACAACTGATTAGAATCATCGAATGCAATTGTTGTCATTTAGATAATACAAAATAGATTTTTTTTAAAAACGTTAAGGAGTTCAGGTTTTTACTTAATAATGATTAGCTCTCATGTCACTGCTAATTGTATTTCATCCCTCCTATTAATTTTGTTTGGATTAGCCCAAATGTATAGGTCTTCAGCTGTTTGCCTTTCCTTGTAAGAATTGAAATCTTTTTGAAGAATTTTTGTGTGAACGAAATCAATTGTATGACCCGATTCTATCGAGTGTAATGCTATCGCTGATTTGTTCTCTAGTTTCCTTACATCATCTGAGGATTTAGGAGTGTGCTTCAAACATTGTTTGTGTTCCTTCACCCTCACATTCAGTTGTCTTGATGTTTCACCTACATACGTTGCATTACAGTCACTACATCTGATTTCATAGACACAATTTTGTTCTTCTTTGTGAATTGGATCTTTAATTCTTACTAACTTTGATCTTAAGTTATTGTTTGTTCGAAAAAATACTCTTATATTTTGATTATTTAAGATTCTTCTAATATCTTCTGAAACACCTTTCCGATATGGGGTCACCACTGTGTTAACCCATTCCTTTTTCTGTAATCTTTTTGTATTATCCATACCGTCTTTTCTTTCATTCTTAATTATTCTTTTAATAAAATCTTTCGGATAATTGTTCATCATTAGGTTGGATGTAATTAAATCTATTTCCTTTTTCATATCGTTTGGTTCCGTGACAAGTTTTTGAGCTCTTGTAATTATATTTTTGACCACTGTCACTTTGTCGAGTGTGGGTGTGCCGATTTAAAATATAGATATTTTTCTGAATTTGTCGGCTTTCGAAATATACTAATTTTTAAGCTATCATTATCTTTCCTTTCAACTAAACAGTCTAGGAAAGGTGATTTGTGTTCAGGAGATTCCAACTCTTTGATGAATTTGATTTTTTCATCAAAATTGTTGACAAGTTTAAACAGTTCGTCCATTTGGTTTCGTTTTATAATGCCAAAAGTGTCATCTACATATCTTAACCATATTTTTGGTGCCTGAGAACACACTGAGATGGCACTAGTTTCCAATGAATGCATAAAGAGGTTAGCAACAATTGGGGAAACCTGGTGATCCCATAGCTACACCTTCAGTCTGTCTGTATAAATCCCCTTGAAAACTGAATATAGTTGAACGTAAACATAGATCTAACGCTTTAATAATATCCGAGGTAACTAGAGGACAGCGCTGTTTAAGATCAGTGTCAGAATCTAATAGATTACATATAATATCTAATGTTTTCTTAATTGGAACATTAGTGAATAATGAGCAAACATCAAAACTTGCCATTATTTCATCTTCTTCTATGTGAATATTAGAGATAATATCTTAAAAACATTAGAATTTTTTATTCCGTGTTTGATTGTGCTTTCATATGGCTTAAGAATCTTAGCTAGGTATCTAGAAAGATTGTAGGTTTGTGAATTGGTATAACCAACAACAGGTCTTATTGGGACAGCTGTTTTATGTATTTCTGGTAGTCCATAAAATCTGCATGGTTTGTTGCTTTTCGAATATAGAGAAAACCATAGAGATGGTCCTAGTTTCGGTTTTAAAGTCTGTAGCATTTTGGCTGTTTCGGCTTTCAACTTATTCAAAGTTGCTCTACATTTGTTAATCTTGATTTTTTCATAAGGTCGAGATTGGAGATGTTCATTGATTATTTTCTCATAATCAGAATTATTCATAACAACAGTGGTGTTTCCCTTATCAGCTCTCATAATAACAATTTTTCTGTCTTTACGTAACTGTTTTAAAGCATACATTTCTTCTTTACATAGATTAGGTGTATTAGGTTTTTGTTTCAACAATGCATTTGAGATTTTAAACCTCACTGAATTCGCTTGATCAGTCGGAACATTGTTTAAGGTAGGTTCAATAATCGGAATAATTTCAGAGGCCATAAGTTGTGTTTTGCTCAAATTGTAATTGAGTCCTTTTTTAAGTAATGATAGTTCATGTTGATTTAAATATTTGTCAGATAGATTCACAACCACTTTGTTTATATCTAGTTATTTGGAATTTTTTCTAATCGTGTCATTATTGGAATTTGTTTGATGTATAAACAATTGTTCGAATTTCCTTATTTGACGATTTTTTTGTAATTTGATCATAAAAAGTTTTCTTTATGTTTAAAAAATTCAACAACATTTGTATTTATTTCTGGTGGTATAATTAATGATAAAACATTATCAATGTTTGCTATACGTGAACGTAGAGATTCCAAATTTTTAGTGGATTTATGAATACGTTCTCTAAGAAATACTCTAGTAGCTGTAATAGCTGCTTTTTGTGATCGTGGTGAATCGGGATGAAATACAATTAGAGCTAATCATTATTAAGTAAAAACCTGAACTCCTTAACGTTTTTAAAAAAAATCTATTTTGTATTATCTAAATGACAACAATTGCATTCGATGATTCTAATCAGTTGTCTTATCGGAATTTAGTAGTTTAAAAATCGGAATTTGTAAAACAATTCATTGGAACATTAAAAATGACACATACATACAGTTTATAAAAAAATTTACACTCTTCAAATCTCACTTTTTTATTATTTTTATTTTGTTTAATTATTCTTCATTGTTGTACATGCTGTGACACAGATATGATTCATATCACATATATTACAAATTGTATGTTTCCTTATAAATTCACTGATAAGAGACAATATATGAATGTGAATGTAATTTTTATCCTCTCATCTCTTACGTTTTCTATACAATTATGTTATATGAACACTCATCACTTCACATCACACACATACCTAGTTTAGACTTTGTTAACGTTGATTGGATGACCTATTCAGTGTATAATGAACTCGGAGAACCATGTACTACCTATTTATATTCGATAATTTTGATGTTTGATTATAATTCCTTGAAAAAGCTTGGACCAGATTGCCAGGCGAAACGTTGGATTTACTACAAATTCATTCGCTGAGATTTTACAAATATATATTATCAGAGGGGTTTTTGTGGAGATTTAGTATTTTTCATAGTTTTAAAGCATGATTCAATGGTGGTCTAGCTTCAATTGACTCATGCTTTAAAACTATGAAAAATATATATTGATCCTGTATAATGTATTACTTTTAAAGGTCGTGGAATCTTAGTAAACCATGTCAGCACATGTCATTCAATCAGATTGAGATACTGTGAAAAATATTACCGGTTCCGATAACGCTGTCTAGGACAGATTATAAGCTAAGCGGTCGTGATTTGCTCACTTTTTTTAACTTCTCTGGTTTTATCGTATAGGAGAATTGTGAGTCAAAACTGTCAGTGTAATTAACAGTATAAATGAGAAGTCTAAACTTTGAAAATATGGGTAAAATTATCTCGATTTTTCTTTAGGAGCCACACATTGACCGACCCGATATTCTTCGTGCAATGAATGTTTATAGTGAAATAACGGTGAGTTTTGAAACTTTCGTATCATCACTTGATTGATAAACATTATTCAACACTTTGATAACTAACTAGCTAACACACATTTAAATTGTGGGGGCTAGTGATACAACCTGACTGCCCAAACGGAATTAGATAAAAAAGATTTTGAATTTGCATCGTAGTGGCCTAAAATCGAACGCCCTAACTACTGAACAGCCACTCGACTAATTAGTTTCTCATTGGTTTGGTTCCAAGACACATAATCCCACGCGTAGGTTAAGTTAGTATGTGAGGTATATTGAGCTACCTAAAGGGAAATAAGTGTGTGAACAGGTAGAAATATGTTCAATAGTTTTAAACTTCTAAGTTGTTGATCAAGATTTTATAGCTACAAACAATGGAGCAACAGTTTTCGTTGTAAATATTTCACATGATCCATGCCCAGATATCGTATGCGTATGGCACTTTTGTAACATGAATTCAAATTCATTGTCAAGTGGTAAAGTAATTTGAATCATTGCGTTAGTTCATTGCAAGATAACAGATCTGTGGATTCCTAGATAGCACCAGTAATAAGACAGTTTTAAGCAAGAGATTGATATTTGCTGATGACTGACTCAATAAATAATGTTCACAAACCTTTAAACAAATTCTATTCGGTAAGAAACTATGAAAGATTTTGTGTCTATGATAATCGTTACCAATATTCGTTAACTAATGTAAGATGTACAATAAATATTCAACTATTATTGACACATAATGTCTGGTCGTCATCAGGTAACTATCCAGAGTGAAGGTTTTATTTATTTAAGTACATAAACATTGGTACAAAGAGGTACTTAGTATACAACGAATACTGTTCGGGCGCCCAAGCCTTGGTAGTTGGCTTCTTGCGACACCACTGTTCGAATTTTAAACATAGAGGTCTAATCCGCAATGCAGTTGTGCAACGTTAAGAGATGCAGTGCCGTGGTAACCGATGATCAACAATAGATTCATACGCCATTTGTTCCCTCAGGATACTGGGGCCCATGCTCACTATTGGTTTGGAATCAGGGTTTTCCGACTCCGCTATGTAAATCCTACGCATCAAATAAACTGGTTAAAACTCTAGACATTCACCATTCGTTTTCGCAATTTCGTAAACAGCACCCCTGTGGCGAGAAGGCAGTGAGTAGGACTTCCCTGACAGCGGCTGTATACATATGTCCATGTGAGAGCATTTGGGGGATAGTGAAGGTACGATGTTATTGCTCTATTTGGAGAGCTTACGAGTTCCTTAATCTGAGAACGAACAAAGGCTCTGTGACCAAAGACAAATCAACAGTGGGAAAGCAGTAGGATCTGACGACATACTAGCTGAAGCACTGAAGTCAGACGTAGAAGTAACTGCAAAGGTGCTCCACATTCTATGCAGGAAGATTTCGAGAGAAGAACAGATGGCGACAGAATGGAAAGAAGAATATCTCATAAAGATACCTAGGAAAAGAGATTTCAGTAAGTGTGAGAACTACAGAGGCATCATACTACCGTCAGTACCAGGAAAGAATTTCAAAACAGTCTTGCTGAATCGGATGAAAGATGGGGTGAACGACTAACTTCGAGATCAATAAGCTGGATTTTGTAAAGATCGGTCGTGTACAGACCAAACCGCGACCCTATGGATCATCGATGAACAATCAATTGAAAGGAACTCGTCACTATACATCAAAATAGTTGACTATGAGAAGGTACTTGACAGTGTGTATAAGAGAACCTTGTGGAACCTTCTTCAACATTATGGTGTCAGTAGGTGAGAAAATCGTCAACATCATTCGGAATTCACACGATGGACTGCACTGCAAAGTTATGCATGAAGGAAAGCTCACAGAAGCATCTCAAGTAGGGCCGGAGGCAGACAAGGACGCTTTTTCTCCAACTTGCTGTTTCTTATGGTGGTTGACTGGATTATGAAAACCTCTGCATCTTAGGGGAAGCACGGAATGCAATCAACAGGTCAAGACAATCCGTGTGGCAGAAGCCTGTGCATCAGTTGGCCTAAACATACACAAAGGGAAAAAGCAAGTTCCTCAATTACAACACAGAGAACATCAATCCAGTCACACTTGATGGAGAAGCTCTGGAAGATTTGGAATCTGTCACGTGCTTGGGAAGCACGATTGATGAGCAAGGAGGATCCGATGCAGACGTAACGGGCGAGGAATGGCAAAACAAGGGCTGTATTCCGACAATTGAAGAACATATGGAACTCAAAACAGTTCTCAACCAATGTCAAAATCAGAATCATCAATACGAACTTCTAGACAGTTCTATTATATGGAGCTGAAACTTTGAGAACGACCACAACCATCATAATAAAAGTACAAGCATTTACAAACAATTGTTTACGCATGTCATGTCTCAAGCGATTGAGTTCCCTAATCTGATAACGAACAAATGCTCTGTGACCAAAGACCAATAAGCTAGCTGTTTTGACCTGTCCCAGACTCGCTAACCAGAGTGAGAGGTCCAAGTTCGAAGTGGGAAAAATATGTTCCGCAAGCAGGCAGTAGTACAAGCGATCACAACAAGTACAAATCAAGCGTATACATACAGCATAAAATTTTCCTTGGGAAGCGCTACAAGATAACATACTAAAAGATACAACGAACCAATGGCGTTTAAGATCCTCCCATATGGGTAATACAACATGAAGGTGAAAACAAGCGCTTTTGGTGCAAAAACAAGATCTAAGATCTCCAACAACGCAATATCCTCAATTTCTGTTGGCCGGATATCATCAAAATCAAACCAGGAAATTAGGAAAAGACCCTGGAAGTGGATAGGACATATATTGATGATACCATCAAACTGCATCACGAAGCAGAAGCTAACTTGGAATCCTGAAGGGAAACGGAAAAGAGGAAGACCAAAGAGTACACTGCACCGAGAATCGAAAGCAGATATCGAAAGGACGATTAGAAACTGGAAAGGATTGCCCAGGACAAAGTTAGATGGAGAATCCTGGTGGGCTGCCTATGCTGCCCCACGAGGGGTAAAAGGCCTTCAAAACATTGGCCATATATTTTGGGACTATCAAGTGAGTAGTAATGCTGAAATTAAATGAAGGGTATCAGGTAAAATCGATGAAGCATCTATTCCTCATCGACTGAGGCGGTTGTGACATGTTTTACATATACCCAAATACCGCCTATCTCAATGCATAGTGGTAGTTGGTGTAGGAGTAGGTGAGAAGAAAGCTAGAGACAGGTAAACCAAGATATGACATCAATCCATAAGGTCACACTCTCAAGTGTACTACGATAATACGTTAATACGACAAAAACACCAGTCACATTATATCAGATCAAGGATTCACGACCCAGAATATAGAACCAGATACTAGATAGAATGACAAAAATGAGATATTTGCCAAGTGATTTCTGAAGACCTAACATCCTTAACATTTATGTATGTTAATGAACACTTTTGTGCAATAATTTGAAAGAGATTGGGCGTAAGCCGACGGCTCAGTAAGCGCATTAAATCTGCCTACCTTCAACCAGCAAAAGCAGTTGACGAAAGCACGAATAACATTATACTCAGTTAGTTGTTCTAACTGATTTGAAGTTAATAAAATGAACTGTGTTTAAGAAATTAATTGTTCAACGTTTTTATTCGAAACAATTAAGTATTGAAACGACAATCAAATAAGGTGAGGTCTGAAACGTTTTACATTCAAAAAGTTTAAGTCTCCACCTTTTTATTTGTTTTTTTCTAACAACAAATAAATAGGAAAGGTGTGCAATACTTAGAAAATTTAAAGAGTATGATATCAATGTATTACTGTCAGTAATAAACGGATGGCGAGGACCGGTAAGTATTTTTTTATCCAATATACTGTTATGTTTTCTGACTTGGCTGAAGTTTCTCGTCTATAAGTTTGTTTCTGTGCATGTTGATAACAAGTTTTACAAGCGTTTTTGTAATACAATTTCATTAATATTGTCCATCATTCTATATGTTTCAATATTGTGATGAATAGAACTGACGTCATTATCTGATAGTCATTTAAACTATCTATTAAATAAATTGTTTTATTCTGAATATTGAGTAACTGTACGGATCTTAACATTCCGTGGCTAAAGCACGTTTTTTGATTTCGTTATTATCTTTCCCATCCACTGTTGCAAATTTCGGAATACGTCTGTACACATGTACACTCATACGTACATTCATATTCGTATAGGTATGAAGACATACATTTTTGTAGATATTTGTATAGTTTTCCTTCGCACGACCTGTCATTGATTCGTTTCTGTTTCCGTCTTATCATTTATATTAGTCCTACTTTGGATGTTGAGCTGTGTTTTGTTCATTATTATTGAATAAAAACTCAGAAACATCTAGAAAATAATGAATCACGTGTCGTATCTTAAATTAGATATTTACTGACATCATTAACACATTAATTATGTTTGCAGAAGGTTCCAAAAGCCCAAGGCCATATATAAATTTGTAGATACTCTCGATTTGCTGAACATAAACTAACCTTGTTGTAAAGCTCTTGTTCACATTTCGCGCCTCTGTTGTATTGTTCAGGTTTACATATATAAATAGTTGGCCTTCATAGAAAGCGACTAGAAAGACAGTAATAAGCGTTTCAGTGTCTGACTTATCATATCTAAACCAAAGTTTTTTTAATGCCTTGTATTTCGAGTTTAGTTATTGAATATGACATTATATGATATCTTCTTACTGCCAAAGGATTCTAAGCTTCCACTAATCAGTCATTCGCCCTCACTATTGATCAGATTCTTTAGATCGATTTTTCTTGTGGCTTTAGACTGAATGGAACTCAAAACACCTGTCAACCAACATCAAAGTCAGAATTTTCAATACAAATATGAACACCGTTCTACTGTATGGCGCGGAAACTTGTAGAGCTACAAAACCCTTTGTCCAGAAGATACAAGTGTTTATTAGCAGTTGTCTTCGCAAGATACTTCGGATCCGTTGGTCGGACATTATCAGCAACAGCCTACTGTGGGAGAGAACAAACCAGATTCCAATGGAGGAAGAAATCAAGAAGAGGCACTGAAGTGGATAGGATACACATTGGCGAAAGCATCCAACTGCATCAAGAGGCAAGCCCTCACTTAAAATCCTCAAGTTCAAAAGAGAAGAGGAAGACCAAAGAACAGATTTCTCCGAGAAACGGAGACAGACATGAGAAGAATGAACAACAACTGGATATAACTGGAAAGGAAGGCCCAGAACAGAGTGGGTTGGAGAACGCTGGTCGGCATTTTCTGCTCCATTGGGGGGTAACAAGCATAAGTAAATAAGTATCAAATACAGCGACTTCAAAAATAATTTTCTTTTCAATTTAGTCAAAAGAGAGCTTTATAGTCTTCGAATAAAATAATAATTTAGATAAATTACACGTTTTATCTAAATAGCCAATAAAATGTTGTGAATGATGTTATTTTCACTGTGATTGATATTGCTGATCCCTATTGATTAAAATCAAATGGTTCGATTATATAAATGTTTAAAAATCAATGCTCAGTTAACTTGTGTTCCATAATGTGCGTTCTTATAATTTGGATCACACATTTTGTTCGCCGTATGAATTCATTAATTGGCTGTCAATGCTGGATTACTGTAACCTGATTAGTTAAAATCCATAAACTGTTTTGATTGGATGTCGAAATTAACATCTTTGGCGAGACTAGGATTTATGGACGAAACAATCAGATTTGGGATTTGAGAATGGAATTCGTTCACCCATTTGTCTAAATAGGGTTTTGGCATTTTAGCTGGTGTCAGTTCGTGATGAAAACCCTAAGTATAATTCCCAACCCCAACCGTCAACAGTAAATCATAATCCTAATTCCTCATGCTGGTTTATAACCCTCATTTAGCCCTCGTAAAGTAGGTGGACGTTATCAGGGTCACTTTAGCGTCGCTCAAAGGTCGTCCATAAATTACAGTATCATCCCATTTTTACATTAGAATTCTTATTGTAATAAAAAAATTCCTTACCATTGTGGTGTAAAATTATTCAGAAATTTAAAAAGCCGCATTAATTCTGTTCGATTGCTATATGACTGGTTGGTAATCAATGCTAAAATGAAAAAGAGAATCAATTTTTTATTGACCAGGTGTAAACAGAAACAAATTTTTACTGCTATGTTGATTGAAGTCATTAATTATTGTAACAGTAGTATGTTTGTGAAAATTACGTACGTATAGTTTCCATGTGATAAGAATGATTATGTATGTCATCTTTAGGAAACAAAAGGGTTGATAAACATATGATAATTAAATTCAACTTAGTATTGTTTGTTTGAATCTTCCCATCGATTTTGTTAGGACTGCAACTGGTCAGTCTCTAATTGGATAACGCGATGGCGTTTGAAGCGAGGGTACTGGGTTCGAGTCCCAGAGTGAACATCAACTCTGAGATGCAGGTACATCCAGCTGACGAGTCCCAAATAGGATGAAGCGCGCGTCAAGCTGGATTCCCTTGCTAGCCACTATCCATCTCTGCTAACCATGCTTGTGAATTAAGGTATATCGAGGCAATACGCACAGTATGCACATATGCCATTTAGAGACTGACCAGTTGCAGTCCTAACAAAATCGATGGGAAGATTCAAACAAACAATACTGAATGAATTTAAACTTCACCCCATCGCACAAGCAAGTGGCTATCAGGACTCAGTGGCCGAGTGGATAACGCGATGGCGTTTGAAGCGAGGGTACTGGGTTCGAGTCCCAGAGTGAACATCAACTCTGAGATGCAGGTACATCCAGCTGACGAGTCCCAAATAGGACGAAACGCACGTCAAACTGGATTCCACTGCTAGCCACTATTCATTTCTGCTAACCATATGATAATTAGTTTCTTTGCCGAAAGGGCTTGAATTTCTGATGGAAGTAGTGTTTATTGTACCTGAGAGCTAGTGAACCCAAAAACTCACAAGTTTTTACCATTAACTTATTTCAGTGATTTGTTTTCACATCGTTCTATTTGGTAAAAATTGCCACATCTGTTTAGGCATATTAATAAATCATCGTGGTTAGATGATACAGATAAGGTATTTAATTAATACTAATGAGTCTAATATTGTTAAATGATAAACGGTTTATACTTTCGTAAATGAATATTTTAAGAAAAATCAGCAAAGAAAATTTATTTATGGGTTATTGTTACGATAGTTGAGGGATCGGTCAAAATTTTTTTTTTCGGTCAATGGTCTCGTATATGTCGATGAATCATGGAACCTGATGCTTTGATCTTTAAGCGACAATTTTGGAAATTAGAAGGCCGATTTGTTAAGGATAAAAATTTCTGTTTTAATGTTAACGTTTTTGTTAACATCAGACGGAAGAATAGGTGAATATTTTCCAAACTCAGCTTCTATGATTTTAGTTACAGTTGAGGATAAATTGAACTATAATACACCTTTTTCATAACATTTCGAATTAGTTGTACTTGACGCTAAAGGTAATGCAATTTCGGACACCTGTTATTTCAGCAGATTTCACCCATCAAATGTAGATGACAATCTCAGACAGTTCTCAATTATTAGTTGAACATTTAATGAATGACCGAAATCGAGTAAGTATTGCTGAGGATTCACGATGAGTGAAGGCACCTGAGATCGCTATGACCATTTCCAAAAAAATTACAATATACGAAGGCTAAGCTCCTCAACAAACAAGATAATGCAACAAATCAACTTACCTTGGTCAAATAAGATTGCTAGGTCTAGCTGCTTTTCGACGATTCCTCCAACATACAAATTTAATAAACGATTTCCTGAGGCTTAAGAAAATGAGAATCATGAACCACAAAGTTCTAATTACGGCAATATAGAAGAAATTACTCTTCAAGAAATCAACAATGACTTCTTTTTAAAATTGTTCATTTCATTGGGCAAAAGAGGATGAAAAATTTGACTATTACAGAAGAACTGTCTTGACATTTGTATTGAAAATTCTAACCTTGGTGTTGGTTGACAATAGTTTTTAGTTCCAAATGTTTTTCAGTTGTAAGTATGCTGCTCTTGCTTTGCCGATCCGCGCCCTCACATCTGCATCAGATCCACCGTGTTCATCAATGATGCTGCCCAGATATGTAAAGGTTTCCACATCCTCCAAAGCTTCTCGATCAAGTGTGATTTGATCGGTGCACGCTGTATTGTATAGAAGATAATTGCTTTTCCCTTTGTTCATAATGAGACCTACTGCTGCTGAGGCTGCTGCTACACTGGTCGTTTTCTCCTGCATTTGTTGTTGCGTTTGTGATAGAAGAGCCAGATCATCTGCGAAGTCTAAATCGTCAAGCTGCCTCCTGCCTGTCCACTGTATCCCGTGCATTCCTCCAGATGTTGACGTCTTCATAATCCAGTCGATGACCAGGAGAAAGAGAAAGGGTGAGAGTAAGCAACCTTGTCTAACACCGGTCTTTACTTGAAACGAGTCGGTGAGTTGTCCTCCGTGGACGATTTGGCAGTTTAGTCCATCATAGGAGTTCCGTATGATATTGACTATCTTCTCAGGCACGCCGTAGTGTCGAAGAAGCCTCCATAGTGTCGTCCTGTCCACACTATCAAATGCCTTCTCGTAGTCGATGAAGTTGATGTAGAGTGATGAGTTCCATTCGATTGATTGTTCCACAATGATCCGCAGAGTTGCGATTTGATCTGTGCACGATCTATCCTTACGAAATCCAGCTTGTTGATCTCGAAGTTGAGCGTCCACGGAATCCTTCATCCTGTTTAAGAATACTCGGTTGAAGACTTTTCCAGGTATTGAGAGAAGAGTGATGCCCCTGTAGTTATCGCACTTGCTAAGATCACCTTTCTTTGGTATTTTGATCAGAAGTCCTTTTTTCCAGTCTGTTGGTACTTGTTCTTCGTCCCATATCTTACTGAAGAGGATGTGGAGTATCTTGGCAGTTGCTGTTACATTTGCTTTCAGTGCCTCTGCCGGGATGTTGTCTGGTCCCGCTGCTTTGCCACTCTTGACTTGTCTAATGGCTATGCTGATCTCTTCAATTGTTGGTGGGCCAATATCGATTGGGAGGTCCGTGAGTGCTGCTTCGATGTTGGGTGGGTTCGGTGGAGCTGGTCGATTCAAGAGTTCCTTGAAGTGCTCTACCCACCTGTTTCGTTGTTCTTCAATGTCGGTGATTACTTTTCCTTCCTTGCATTTCACTGGTCTTTCTGGCTTACGGTAATTTCCAGCAAGTTTCTTTGTTGTATCATACAGTTGTCTCATGTTTCCCTCTCTTGCAGCCTTTTCCGCTGTCATTGCTAAATCTTCCACATATTTACGTTTGTCGGTTCTGATGCTCCTCTTCACTTGCTTGTTTGCCTCTGTGTATTCGGCTTGTGTCTTGGCTTTTTCCGCTCTGGGTCGGCTGGTGTTGATTGCTGCATTCTTGTTCCTCCTTGCTTCAATCTTCTCCAGTGTACCAACAGTGATCCATTCCTTGTGATGGTGCTTCTTTTGGCCCAGAACCTCTTGACACGTTGAAACGATTGCCTCCTTGATACCTTTCCAGTTGCTCTCCATGGTAGCCCCGTCTCCATTGAGTAGGTCATGAAAGACCTGGAACCTGTTGCTGAGGGCTATGTTGAATTTGTTGAGTTTGTCAGCATCTCGAAGAAAGGCCGTATTAAACTTTTGTGATGTTGTCCGCGCCGTTGTCCAGTGCCTCTTGAGTTTTAGTTTCATCTTGGCGACCAGCAAATTATGATCGGATGCTATATCAGCTCCTCTCCTGGTTCTCACATCCTCCATCGTCCTCCTGAACTTTTTGTTGATGCAGATATGGTCGATTTGATTCTGTGTAGTGTGATCTGGTGAAATCCAAGTGGATTTGTGTATGTTTTTGTGTGAGAATATGGTGCCACCTATGACCAGTTTATTGAAGGCACATAGGTTTGCAAATCTCTCACCATTTTCGTTCCTTTCTCCCAGTCCATGTTGTTCCATGACGTCTTCGTATCCAGTGTTGTCCATTCCAACCTTGGCATTGAGATCTCCCATCAGGATTGTCAGGTCCTTGGTTGGGCACTTTTCGAAGATCGACTGCAGCCTATCGTAGAATTGGTCTTTAGCGTCTTCATCGTAGTCATTGGTAGGCGCATAGCATTGGATGACGTTCATTGTAATGCCCCCTCTCTTTGTTCTGAAGGAGGCTTTGATGATCCTTGGTCCATGAGATTCCCATCCTATAAGTGCATTTTGTGCTTTTCTGGACAGCATCAATGCAACTCCTTGTGTATGTGGGGCATTTTCCTCTTCATGACCGGAGTATAACAGAAGTTCTCCTGAAGACAGTCGTTGTTGTCCAACCTGCGTCCAATGTGTTTCGCTGATTCCAAGCACCTCCAGGTTGTATTTTCTCATTTCTGCAGCAATTTGGAAGACTCTTCCGGTCTCCCACATTGTTCGGACATTCCATGTACCTATAAAAATTGTTGCTCTGGTTGTAAGAAGGTGCATCGGCCTCATGACTTCCGAAGGAACTCGGCTTTCATCATGAGACGTCATAATTATTCCTTCTACTCCCAGGGCAGAGTTTAAATGGTTTGAATGATTTTTTTCTGGTTAGCGTTTTTTTAGCGAGTTGATTTTCTACGGGATGGGGTCGCTAACCCCATGCCCAACCCTCCTCCTTTACCCGGGCTTGGGACCGGCAGTAACCCCTAGAGGAGCTACAGTCGGAGTTTACATATTAAATATTTATTTATAATTTCTAAATCTTCTCTCCTATATATAGTACTTCTGCTTATTGTTAATACTACCGATTCTCTTGTTTTGTACTTCGGTTAGCCTATTCAACAACTTGGTGACCCAATTCTCACTCTACGTGTTCTTCTAGCCAACATACAAATAAACCAATCAACCCTACCAGATTTCATTCATATAAATGATATATATACAAGAAAAACACAATTATCATTATTGGTTATATTTCCTACCTGTGTGCTCCTGTTGGCTAGAACAAACCAGACTAATGTTTACGATTATACCGTAAGTGAAGTTCACCTCTGTGTGTCTGTTTTATATCTTATTGCTTCATTTTATAAAACTTTGAATTCCCAACAATTTGTTAATTCAATAAACAAATAGATCAATTTTTCGATAATGCAATGAGAAGACGAAGTTTATCAGAATTATGACATATATATTTGCGCAATACATTTCGAACAATCTCATCACACATATACTGATACACTGATCAGTAGGAGAGGAGATGGTTCCATCCAACGTCCTATATAGAGAAAGCCGACATGAACGGGTCAATATCTTAATTTTCATACTTCTCTAGGCTTTTCTTCATTCATAGCTATCTGCTTCCCTTCTATATTCTCCATAGACTTTTTATCCCCAAATAATATTTTCCTGTTTCTATGATCCGCCTGATTGCACTTCCTCCAAATTCCGACATTTCATCTTATCATGCTGAGTCACTCATTCCCAATTATAATTTCCTTATATTTATGATGAATAATTAAGAATAAAAAAAATAAGAGGAAAGGAAAGTCAAGAGAATAGTTCAACATAGTAGTGATCCCAAATCACAAAGCGACTTTGAAAGCAATCAAAGACATCTTGAACAGTAGAAATATGAGGTATTTTTCCGAAAAAAACAATACTCTTCGCTCTGAACTAATAAAAATCAAGACACAATACTTAAAAAGTAAAGAAATTGCATCTACAAGATCAAAAGCAGTGATTGTAATGTTGTGTTATGATGACCCTTCATACGGCCCAGAGCCTTCTGACACGTTAAGGTTAGTGCTTCTTTCATCCCTTAACAATTTTCTTCCATAGTAGCTTTTTCCTCATTAAGAGGACCATGTATGGCTTGGAACCTGTTGTTGAGAGATATCTTGAATTCGTTGATTTTGTCAGCATCTCGAAGGAAGGCTGTATTGAACATTTGTACTGCTGTTTCCCCAGTTGTCCAGTGATCTGAAGCTAGGTCAGCTTCTCTTCTGGTTCTCACGTCTTTCATTGACCTTCTGGATTTCTCATTGATACAGATATTGATTGATCTGGTTCTGTGTAGTGTGACCAGGTGAGACCCATGTAGCTTTGTGTATGCGTTTGTGTGGGAATATTGTGCCACCTATAACCATTTTATTTCATTCCCTCCTTCTCTGTTTTGAAAGATGCCTTGATGATCCTGGGTCCATGATTTTCTCATCCTGTAAGTGTTTTACGTGCTTCTTTGGACAGCATCAGAGCAACTCCCTGAGTGTGCGAAGCAATTTCCTCTTGGTGACCAGAGTACAGTAGCATTTTTCCTCAACCTTACATTTTCTGTCCAGCATGAATCCAATGGGTTCCACTGATTCCGAGCACCGCCAAGCTGTATCTCCTCATTTTGCCTGCCATTTTATTGGTTCTCTCGGTTTCCCACATTATGTGAACATTCCATTAACCTATATTAATTGATGGTTTGGTTGTTAGAAGGGGAATCAACCCCTCGGCTTCCGAAGAATATCGGCTTTCAGCATAAGGCTTCATAATTCCTTTCAAAGGTCCTTGTAATCCCGGGATAGAGTTTAAATCATTTATTCTGGTTAGCGTCCTTTTAGTAAGGTTGTTTTCTACGGGATGAGGTTTGCTTGTCTCGTGCACAATTCTCCTTCTTTAACCGGGCTTGGGAAAAACACTAACCCCAGAGGCGTTGCAGGAGGAGTTTCATATATATACATATATAATTAGGAAATTTACCTATTGACCACAATGAAATACACTTGACGTTTAGGTCACTTCTGATTGTCATCAACTAACTTTTAGCTGCTTTTCATTGGCTCTCCATGTCAACATCTATCAAGGTATCTACTCTTATCAACAACCATAAGCATTGATCATAATATATGTGTCATAAACGTAGGATACTGCTTATAACTCTAGGGTTTTTTGTTATAACAGTCCTTTCACTTGTTACACGTATGTGAGACGTTAATTTACCTTAGACGAATATCTACACTAGATTCCCCAACCAGTGTCTATTCTACAGGACTTCAACACAACTCAGATCAAGAACACGAGATTAGCCTGACTATAACGTCAATTTATTTCCACACCAAAATCCGACACAATCCAACAACAGTTAACAGTCAATCAACAATAGTTACGATAGGGGAATATATAACACCTGTTACACCTTCTACATGTCTGACTCAGCTAATCAACGAATCATTATCATTCTCGCCCACACATGAGATAAGAACCATACTTTTATTGAGAAATCCTCTTCCTTAATGAAGAAGATGAGTAATTTTTTGCAATCGTTTCTTCCATTTAGTCGTTTTTTAATGAATAATAAAATTTTTATTGAGCACTACATTTCATTTCAAGTTAAGCTTCACAAATTTTGTTAATGATTTGTTGAAAACAGGTCAAAATACCATTGCACAATTTGGCTGTGAATAAGTCGACCGACAGTGAAACCGATTTAAGTTTATTGATTGCAGGTAAATGGATAATTTATCATGTAACTATTCTTACTGTTTATTTTGTAATGAAAATTATATTTTTTAAACCAGTCCAATTATTAACTAGAAGTATCCTGCAATGAATCACACTTTCTTTTGTAAACTGATAGATCGGGATTCAAACCCATAACTTAATAGTCTAACTACGAAACCATTACTCTTGTAAGGATTCACATTTTGAAAGAATAAATTTAGAAAATGCAACTAGCTTCCATCTTTATGATTTGCGTAATAGTTCTCATAATCTCCTGAATCTTCAAAACGTTAGTCTATGAAAATTCTCATATCTAGGTGTATTTACCAATTCAACTGCTCATGCGGAGCCAGTTATATAGGGCGTACAATTCGGCAATTTCGTCAACGAATAACAGAACACTATCCGTCGTGGTTGAGCAAAGGACAGGTAAAGGTGATTAAGAGTTCTATTCTCGCTCACTTGGTGGACACAGGTCATCAGGTTGAACTGAATAAAGCTTTTAAGGTTATCTACCATATTCCATCAAATTTGCCACATGGTTTACGAGCTCGTTTATTGCACATAGCTGAAGCCATCGCAGTTCATATTCACAAACCAAACCTTTGTATCCAAAAGAAGTTTGTACAACCACTCTCGCTACCTTGGCCATCAGTATAGCGGAGTTTGTAGCTGAACGTTGGTAAACAATTATCTTATTCCCTCCATTTTTGTAATTTACTTATTCTCTTCATTAGTCTCTTGATTCTTACATAACTACTATATTACTGACCATTCATCAAAATATTTTGTTAGTTCTTTCTTCTCTTTTTATATATTATGCAACGTAGCAACAACTTGATTTTCGAATAATAACTTTGATTAGTATTAAACCTTCTCTTCCAATAATTGTTAGTTTATAGTCGATTTCATTATATAATTATTACGTAACATATCTACTCCATGAGTGTTATTTAATTATTGTAAATCATATATATATATATATATGTATATATATATATATATATATGGCGGTCTAGCTTCAATTGACGCACGCTTTCAACTATAATAAATACTAAATCTCCACAAAACCCCTTCTATAATTAATATATTCATATGCTCACTAGTGACTTCGAGAAGTATATCTAGGAGCTCTAATGAGAAGCAGTGACCAGTGGAGTTCAAAACCACGTCTGTTGTGAAATAGGAACTCACTGAAGACAATTGGTGAATGGTTGCTCAACTTCGTGGATCAGTTGAAGTTAGACATTAACACCGTTGGATGCCAGCTCAGTGGTCTATCGGTTAAGGGCTTCGGCTCGAGACTGGTAGATCCTGGGTTCGAATCTCGCTCGCGAGAGCAGGTTCGTGGGTGCGCACTGCTGAGGAGTCCCATAATAGGACGAAACGACCGTCCAGTGTTTCCAGGTTTTCCATGGTGGTCTAGCTTCAATTGACTCACGCTTTCAACAATGATAAATACTAAATCTCCGCAAAACCCCTTCTATAATTTTTATATATATATATATATATATACTTACTTACTTACTTACGCCTGTTACTCCCAATGGAGCATAGGCCGCCGACCAGCTTTCTCCAACCCACTCTGTCCTGGGCTTCCTTTTCTAGTTCTATCCAGTTCTTGTTCATTCTTCTCATGTCTGTCTCTATTTCTCGGCGTAATGTGTTCTTTGGTCTTCCTCTTTTCCGTTGACCTTCAGGATTCCATGTGAGGGCTTGTCTTGTGACGCAATTAGCTAATTTCCTCAAGGTGTGCCCAATCCACTTCCAGCGCTTTCTCCTGATTTCTTCCTCCGCTGGAATCTGGTTTGTTGTCTCCCACAGTAACTTATTGCTGATAGTGTCTGGCCATCGGATCCGAAGTATTTTGCGTAGACAGCTGTTGATGAATACTTGTATCTTCTGGATAATGGCTTTCGTATTTCTCCACGTCTCCGCCCCATACAGTAGAACTGTCTTGACATTTGTATTGAAAATTCTAACCTTGGTGTTGGTTGACAATTGTTTTGAGCTCCAGATGTTTTTCAGTTGTAAGTATGCTGCTCTTGCTTTGCCGATCCGCGCCCTCACATCTGCATCTGATCCACCGTGTTCATCAATGATGCTGCCCAGATATGTAAAGGTTTCCACATCCTCCAAAGCTTCTCGATCAAGTGTGATTTGATCGGTGCACGCTGTATTGTATAGAAGATAATTGCTTTTCCCTTTGTTCATAATGAGACCTACTGCTGCTGAGGCTGCTGCTACACTGGTCGTTTTCTCCTGCATTTGTTGTTGCGTTTGTGATAGAAGAGCCAGATCATCTGCGAAGTCTAAATCGTCAAGCTGCCTCCTGCCTGTCCACTGTATCCCGTGCATTCCTCCAGATGTTGACGTCTTCATAATCCAGTCGATGACCAGGAGAAAGAGAAAGGGTGAGAGTAAGCAACCTTGTCTAACACCGGTCTTTACTTGAAACGAGTCGGTGAGTTGTCCTCCGTGGACGATTTGGCAGTTTAGTCCATCATAGGAGTTCCGTATGATATTGACTATCTTCTCAGGCACGCCGTAGTGTCGAAGAAGCCTCCATAGTGTCGTCCTGTCCACACTATCAAATGCCTTCTCGTAGTCGATGAAGTTGATGTAGAGTGATGAGTTCCATTCGATTGATTGTTCCACAATGATCCGCAGAGTTGCGATTTGATCTGTGCACGATCTATCCTTACGAAATCCAGCTTGTTGATCTCGAAGTTGAGCGTCCACGGAATCCTTCATCCTGTTTAAGAATACTCGGTTGAAGACTTTTCCAGGTATTGAGAGAAGAGTGATGCCCCTGTAGTTATCGCACTTGCTAAGATCACCTTTCTTTGGTATTTTGATCAGAAGTCCTTTTTTCCAGTCTGTTGGTACTTGTTCTTCGTCCCATATCTTACTGAAGAGGATGTGGAGTATCTTGGCAGTTGCTGTTACATTTGCTTTCAGTGCCTCTGCCGGGATGTTGTCTGGTCCCGCTGCTTTGCCACTCTTGACTTGTCTAATGGCTATGCTGATCTCTTCAATTGTTGGTGGGCCAATATCGATTGGGAGGTCCGTGAGTGCTGCTTCGATGTTGGGTGGGTTCGGTGGAGCTGGTCGATTCAAGAGTTCCTTGAAGTGTTCTACCCACCTGTTTCGTTGTTCTTCAATGTCGGTGATTACTTTTCCTTCCTTGCATTTCACTGGTCTTTCTGGTTTACGGTAATTTCCAGCAAGTTTCTTTGTCGTATCATACAGTTGTCTCATGTTTCCCTCTCTTGCAGCCTTTTCCGCTGTCATTGCTAAATCTTCCACATATTTACGTTTGTCGGTTCTGATGCTCCTCTTCACTTGCTTGTTTGCCTCTGTGTATTCGGCTTGTGTCTTGGCTTTTTCCGCTCTGGGTCGGCTGGTGTTGATTGCTGCATTCTTGTTCCTCCTTGCTTCAATCTTCTCCAGTGTACCAACAGTGATCCATTCCTTGTGATGGTGCTTCTTTTGGCCCAGAACCTCTTGACACGTTGAAACGATTGCCTCCTTGATACCTTTCCAGTTGCTCTCCATGGTAGCCCCGTCTCCATTGAGTAGGTCATGAAAGACCTGGAACCTGTTGCTGAGGGCTATGTTGAATTTGTTGAGTTTGTCAGCATCTCGAAGAAAGGCCGTATTAAACTTTTGTGATGTTGTCCGCGCCGTTGTCCAGTGCTTCTTGAGTTTTAGTTTCATCTTGGCGACCAGCAAATTATGATCGGATGCTATATCAGCTCCTCTCCTGGTTCTCACATCCTCCATCGTCCTCCTGAACTTTTTGTTGATGCAGATATGGTCGATTTGATTCTGTGTAGTGTGATCTGGTGAAATCCAAGTGGATTTGTGTATGTTTTTGTGTGAGAATATGGTGCCACCTATGACCAGTTTATTGAAGGCACATAGGTTTGCAAATCTCTCACCATTTTCGTTCCTTTCTCCCAGTCCATGTTGTTCCATGACGTCTTCGTATCCAGTGTTGTCCATTCCAACCTTGGCATTGAGATCTCCCATCAGGATTGTCAGGTCCTTGGTTGGGCACTTTTCGAAGATCGACTGCAGCCTATCGTAGAATTGGTCTTTAGCGTCTTCATCGTAGTCATTGGTAGGCGCATAGCATTGGATGACGTTCATTGTAATGCCCCCTCTCTTTGTTCTGAAGGAGGCTTTGATGATCCTTGGTCCATGAGATTCCCATCCTATAAGTGCATTTTGTGCTTTTCTGGACAGCATCAATGCAACTCCTTGTGTATGTGGGGCATTTTCCTCTTCATGACCGGAGTATAACAGAAGTTCTCCTGAAGACAGTCGTTGTTGTCCAACCTGCGTCCAATGTGTTTCGCTGATTCCAAGCACCTCCAGGTTGTATTTTCTCATTTCTGCAGCAATTTGGAAGACTCTTCCGGTCTCCCACATTGTTCGGACATTCCATGTACCTATAAAAATTGTTGCTCTGGTTGTAAGAAGGTGCATCGGCCTCATGACTTCCGAAGGAACTCGGCTTTCATCATGAGACGTCATAATTATTCCTTCTACTCCCAGGGCAGAGTTTAAATGGTTTGAATGATTTTTTTCTGGTTAGCGTTTTTTTAGCGAGTTGATTTTCTACGGGATGGGGTCGCTAACCCCATGCCCAACCCTCCTCCTTTACCCGGGCTTGGGACCGGCAGTAACCCCTAGAGGAGCTACAGGCGGAGTTATATAAATATATATATATATATATATATATATATATATATATATGTTAGTGTACAGCCATGATGAAAAACTAATTGAAAAGAAATTTCGTCGCTCGATTCGTTCCTTGTTAGTCTATGAGTCAGTAACTCCGTGGCGAAGTACTGCCAAGTGAACAGTATGATAACAGTAAGGCGTTCGCTTCAGATGACTATCATTAGCAACAAAACTGGTTCCTCTCAAAAATATGGGTTAGAAAAATCTATTTTTTTAAAGTATGACCCCTTGACTTAGCCCATAAATTTCT